TAACTGTTATTTTCGTATTATTAAGAAATACTAATAATGTTCTCTTTTCGTCCACAGCCTGCTGCCAAATGTTTCGGGAGATACCCAGTTGATAGACATTTGTCTCTCCAAGAGACCGCCAACAACAAGATGGGATGAGAGTCCTCTCCTGTCAGACTGAGAGGCTGATAACCTATGGGTGTAGTCTCTTTATTTCCCCCTCAAAATGCACCAGATTGATGCATTTAAGTCCAACATTTAAAAATCTTACCGGGGGAGCATGCCCACGGACTATAGGATTCGAGGTCCACCCCCACTTATAAAAATAGCACTTTACCACTGCACCCCCTCTGATCTCAGATGCACCCGGAGTCATTTTGTTTAGGTACAGTGAGCCGTTTCTAAAATATACAGTAAAGAGACAAACCCACCAGCATTATAGGATATACTTTGAGCCAAATACTTGTTTTTGGGTTGTATAAATAAATTGACTTGAAAGAGTTGCTGATTTAGAGTACTGGCACCTTTTTTATTCCAATTCAAGCACTGGTTATTTGTGAATAAACAACCATCTGTAACGTTTGCATTCAACGGGAGCACAAGAGGGCGAACACTTTAAAACGTAATTATAGGACGTATTAAGCGCTTGAACAAACGACATATTTGGTCGTAATAATTGGGCCTGAATAATCTGCATATTTGGTCGTATGAGTTGGAGGACTTGTTGATACTGTAGTTTATTTTCTTCTTTTATTTGATTTGTGTCTCATTGTTGTATTTCGGTTTCTCCAAGTAGTTATATTGTGTCCATTTGCATTTTGCCTCTATGGTGGTTTCCTATAGTTGTTGTCTCTGTTTTTAGTCATTGTATGTCTCTTTGTAGTCATTGTGTGTCTTTTGTTATTCGTTTTGTGTTTCTTTGTACTCATTTTATGTCTCTTTTTACTCATATTGTGTCTCTTTGTGTTTGTTTTTTTGTCTCTTTGATGTTGTATTGTATTTTTTTGTAGACCCGTTGTGTCTCTATGTAGTCATTGTGTGTCTCTATGTAGTCATTGTATGTCTCTTTGATGTTGTTTTTTATTTATTTGTCGTCATCTTGAGTATCTTTGTTGGTGCTCTGTCCCTTTGTAGTAATGTTTCATCTCTTTGCAGTTGTTTTTGTTTAATCTGATTGAAGTTTTGACTGTTGCCTATTAGGTTTCTTTGTTCATCTTTTGAGCTGTTTCGTATCTCCTGTAGTTATTTTTGGTTTACTTTAAGTAATTTGTGTTTCCTTGAGGATGTTTTTTGTGATGATTTTGAGTCCCTTTCTAGTTGGTTTCAAACCTTTATTTATGCAGGTGTATCCCATTGAGATCATTGATCTCTTTTTCAAGGGAGACCTGCAAAAGTCTGGTGACTCCTTAGTGACATTTTGTAGGTGAAGACGAGGGGGACCCCATAAACTTAAGGCCCCTGGGCTTATACACCGAAGCCTTTAGTGATCCATTCATGAAAGTAGTAAGACTTGCCTGTGCTTTTCTGTTTTAACTGGAATCAGAAAACCAGTTTTGTGGAATTAGTATTATCATTATATTCATTGGTTTTCAGTTTGCAAGTGGCATCAAATGAAACAGTAAATATCAGTAACATCAAAGACAGCAAACACTTTTAACCCTGTATCCCCTCCCTTTACATCATTCCTATCAACAGAGTACAGACATATCAGGTAGTAAATAAATCAAATAAGTTAAATAAAAAAGTGAACTATGTTTTCCATACTATATTGCAAGATCACATCATTAACAAAGCACACACTTGTAAACTTAAAATTGGGGTGCATACCATTTCAACATCCGAGACAGGTCCAAAACTTGTCACATAAATGTCAGTCTTGACTTCAGTCACAGGACCTATTGAACCAATGACACAGACCAATGTTACATTTAATGCTCAAATCCTTTACATGTCACAGTCCAGCCTCAGTCTTAATCACACTTTAAAGACCTAAAGCCCATAAAACCCAAAAGACATGCAATATCTCATCCAGAGCTGTAGTAGTGCCTTTGCATAATGGGAATGAAAGAAAATAGCTTTAGCGATGTTAAACATAATCCTGTTTGATTCCCCCCCCCCCCAGTGAATGGATGTGGAGGCACATTATAGCGTTGTTTATAAATGCAGGGATAAGCTGGTGTCTCTGCATGCATGTGTGTTGACAGGCTGTTTGCACTGTGAACCAAACGAGGCTGCTTCTTACCATGCAACGATGTGCAGAACAACCAAATCCGTAGTTTGAGCACTTGAACTTTCATGCATTAAGCGTTTGTCCAGCAACATACACAAGGTTATGTAACTGCAGTGGCTAAGTCTAAAGCGTTGCGTACAGTGACACACATGACCATGAAGCAACATGTTCTACATCTCCCACACAGAGGAGGTTAACAAAAACATGACATTGTTGCCATTATTTTTTCTCTGAACAAGACATAGCCTCATCTGATGGTTATGTGGAAGTTACTTCCGCTTTAATGTTCTTTAAGGGGCCTTAACATCGCTAATCCATTAAATACAGATTAGCAATAAAAGGCTCCGCAAATACACTGAGATATTGGGTAAATTCAGTGCTCAATAATGAGTTGCAGTTATCTTATCGCAATGGATGGTGTGTTTTAAGCTTGTAAGGCATACAAAAGTTAAAAACAAATAATAAATAAAAAACATTAAAACAATTTAAGGGAATTTTCGAGTGTTACAGGGGTGAAATATAATCACATTAAGGATTTATTTGGGGCTTAAAGTAAGTTTACACCTACATTTATAGGTGTATTTTAACATACACAAAAAAGTCAAATAAATATACATATATATTGGTAGTTTTCATAACGAAATTGCCTCATAGTGCACACCAATATTCTAAAAATACATTTTAAATGTTTTTATTTATTTTTTATTTTACATAGGCCTACCTCCGAATCCAGGTCGCAGCCTGTTGTCATAACCGTCCAGAAGTCGGTCTAAAATACGCGTAAAATTCTCCGGGTAGATCCTTTCATCCTTCTTTGTCTGTCCAGAGATTTTCCTTACACTAGAAAGGGAAAAAAAATATTATGGTGCCATAACTTCATAGTTTGAAAAAAGAACTCTGTGTCGTCGCGGTGCCAGCCTCTTGGACAACGTCAATGTGCCACTCACCAAGTCACCAAACACAAAAAGTAGAATAGGGTCCGAACAAAAGCCGGGCGCATCGCTGCCACCGTCTCCTTCTTCTTGGCAGAAAGCATCTTTGCATGCCATATTTCAAGCCTCTTCACATCTCACCACTGCCAGATGCCTGCCGTGTCCCGGGGAACAGGAGGAGGGGTCCTCGGCGGCACATCGGAGGCACACAGGGAGCAAGTTCTCCCGCTCCTGAAGTCTCTCACACACACACACACACACACACACAAACACACACACACACACACACACACACACANGCGGCACATCGGAGGCACACAGGGAGCAAGTTCTCCCGCTCCTGAAGTCTCTCACACACACACACACACACACACACAAACACACACACACACACACACCCCTTCACCCCCAGCCCCGGTCACCTCTCATCCGGATCCGAGCTGCTGGTGCTGCATCCACAGAAAGAAACTATCTCCTTCTCTCCCTCTCTATTTGCTTCCCTGTCTCTCCCT